TGTTTTCGTAGTAGCTGTAGTCGCCCAGGTGCATCGAGTGTACGAAGTGGTCGGTTATATGTCAAATACTAACCTGGCGAGCTTGAACCTGAACTTGGCAACGCTGTTCCTTTAGCCGACAACTGTTCGTGACATTACGTTACAAAATTTTCCGAGCATCCGGGCATCGGCAGGGCAGCCCTCGTAGCGGGAGTTATGGGTTGATTTCCTTCATTTTTAAAAGTCGAGTAAAAATTTTTTTTTTTCCGATTTTCTGTCTTTATTAAGCCTTCCGAATACGTGGTTAAAATTAATGACATTATGACTGAATCACCCTGTATACTCTAAAATATGGGCGAGTTAAAAACTTTATTTCGTCTCGTGCGAAAACAAGCAATCCTTTCACAGTACCTACAGATTAGTAGGTCACTCTTTGTCAGTAGGTGAAAAAGTATTACTTTGTGTCGGTAAACGTTTCGTGGCAATGACATTTAAGATATGACATAAATTTTGTAGGGTATATTTCACTATAATAGTAGGTAGGTACAAAGTCAAAAATTCTAAAGTTTTCGAAATTTCAAGTTTGAATATCAAAATTTTGTGCTCGAGTTTAAAGTCGAAATTTGGTTCATAAAGAAAAAATATCTGACCTTTCTATGCTATCTTTAATTTTATAATATTTTATTAGGTTAACTAAATGGATATCGATTGAAGTCCTAGAGTCAAGATCAAAACTGAAATATTTCGAATTTTTAATAGTATTTCTAACTTATATCGCAACGACATTACCTTTATCAACTAAGGCATGAGATATATTCCTCGCCAGAGTCTTGAAGATGTCTCTGGACTCGAACCGCCTCTCGACGTAAGCCGGCGTCAACAACTTAACGACCAGGCCTCCCACTTCAGTCTTCTTCAACCTCTGCCGCCTGCTGCCTTCCCCGTTTTGCCTATCGACCCTGACCGCCTCGATCCTCTGTGCCACCTCCCTCACTTCCTGCCTCGCGACCTGCCGTTCACTCTCCAGCACCGCATCCGCATTGTTATTGTCTCTATGGCTGTGGGGCACTTCGTTTCGAATCCGGTCTTCTCCTGTGGGATCACTGTTTCCGTCGTTGTTTTCGCTCGGGCAACGGTCGGCTGTCTCTCTGGACCGGTCATCATCCTTCCTTCGTTTCCTGTCTTCGTCGCGGTCGCAGCTTTTCCGCCTCTTCTTATCCTCCTCGTGCCTGTGTCGGTGTCTGTCTTTATGGCTGTGGGAGGCTTCGTTCGGAGTGTCGTCCCCCATAGAGCTTTGTTCCATCAAGTCGCTGTTTTTGTTGTTGTTCTCGCTCGGGCAGGGATCGGAGAAGGTCTCTTCTTTTTTCCGCTTCCTGTCTTCGTCTCTGTCGCGTCTTCTGTCTTCCTCGTGTTTTTCCCTGTGCCTGTGTCGACTGTCCTTGTCTCTGTGACCGCTGCGTTCTTTCTCTCTGTGCTTCTCCCTCGAACTGTCTCTGTCGCTGTGTTTCTTAGACGAGTCCGCCCTGCTCGGCGATTCGAGCTCGGAATTCTTACGTTCCTCAACTGCTTCGTCTCCGGAGTCGTCGTCCCCGAAGAGACTCTTGAGATCCTTACGAGGCGTAGACTTGTCACTCATGGTACCACTCGTCCCGCTATCCGACACTGTATCGTAGGAAATTTCGGATTTAACCTCACTTTCCCCCACTTCGGCACTTCTCTTGAAAAAATCCCCAATAACCGACTGACCCCCTCCCAACTTGGCCCTGTTTAGTTCATCAAAAGCCTGCCTGGCCGTCTTGAAATCCGTCTTGACGGTCACTTCCTCCTGTTTACTATCACTACTATCGTACCGTTTGAGAAACTGGTCCTTCTTAATGTTACGGAACAGATCACTCAAAGTCTCATGTCTTGCGGGCTTGGGTTCGAACGTGAGCAAGTTCTCGTGCACAATCTTGTCATCGGTTAGCTGTTTGGTGTTAGATACCTGGAAGGAAGACAAATGTGTCAGAGGGACGTGTTCCAAAAATAACTAGGTTAGTGGTGGCGGAGGAATCGTCAAATCTAGCCATTTGACGATAGCTTCTTGGCTATATTGCCGGGTCCGGGGACGAGTTTGGAGTTAAGACGCGTTTTGGTGCAGCACAACCCGAATTTCCGACAAACACTCGCATTTATGATAAGTACTGACAGATGACAGGCCGACGTTTGACGATTGACAGTCGCGCTGCCAACGGAAGAAACGAAGGACCCTACGCGTTTGAATGGGCAAAATAATTTACTTGCAAATACTCTAAAATTATTAAAATTAATAAAACATACATTTTTTGCCAGTAGTGGCTAATATAAGGCGGTTAAAATGTTGTCAATATAAAACAAATGACCTTAACCTAGCTCATAGAGCAAACAAATAAGAGTTCATTTAGTAGGAATTTAACGGAAATAAAAACAGCGCCATCTAACAGCAACCTGGAAAATGAGCTGGGTTTGTTCCTAGAGTAGTCCAAGAAAGTTTTCAACAGCCAGACGTATGCGTATTCTGATATAATGCTTACATAATTGCCTTAATTGCCATAATACAATGGTATTATTAGAAAAATGAAAGTATTTTTCAAAATTACTTCTTTTACATGGCGGTAAATTATAATAAGCTATATTTTTATTAGAAAAATGTGAATAAGTCCAATCAAACCTGATTAATGTAACTATTTTGAATGTGGATTGTTTAATGAAATCAAATTAATCGAAATCTTAGATAAATAAACCACCGCTGTAGTATAAATTTAATGCCTAATTACTTTAAAGAAGTGCCGTCTATCAACAGTTTCCTTTAGCTTGCACACATAGTTCAACTCCAGAACAATAGATGGCACTGACAGTCCAATTTTGGCGCCGAAAATAATTTACAGAGAAAGCCTTCTCTTATAAAACTTACGTGGTACCCTTACCAGTCCCCAGAAATTTAAAAACTGGCGGGATATTTAAAAATAGAGTACAAAGTTAATGTTTACGCATTTTGAGTCGGCACAGATCAAACGACATTTAAAAAATTATATTTCTTCTGGAAGAAAAACGCTTTTATTGTAATTTCTAAGTACACGCCACCAAACAAACTGCCGAAAATTAAAATTAAGCACTAAATCGAAAACAACTTACCAGTTTGGCCATGGCGTTCCGGTACATGGTCATGTTGGTGTTAGTGGAGAAAATGGAGTACTCCATGTCCACGGCGCAGTCCTCCACGTCCTTCTTATCCAGAGTGGGTTCCTCCTGGCATTCCGTGTAATTCTTGTACAGCACGTCGGTGATCCTCGTCAGGTACAGTTCCCTGTTCGCCAGGGTGAGCCCCTTCACTTTGCTGGAGGTGGAAGCGGCCGCTCTGACACGAGAGTGCTTGGAGAAGAGTTTCTCGACGGTATCCTGAGAGACTTCCTATAAAAAAAAAGGGATTTACTGTAGAATTGTAAAGTAAGCGCTCTAGGCCTTACCTGGGTGTTCTTCCTCAAAGCGAATTGCTTTTGTATGAAATCGTTGGTGGCTTTCTTCGCCTCCTGCTCCCGTTTAAAGGCTGCGTGGCTGCATTCCTCGTCACTGTCGTCTCCTGCGTCCCCGCGCTCCCTGGGAAATATAATTTTTGATTGTTTCGCTGATACATCGACCGGTGGCGGTCTCTATTAGCGTCAATTGGCATGAAACCGTCCGATGTAGGTCGTCGATTCATGCTGTACCTTTTTCTCAAAATTGAGACGAGTACTTACTCGATAGCGCCTTTCCTGCCGCCTCCGTACAAATCCCCATAATCCATGTCGTTCGGGGCCATCCTGGTGCTGAACTGGATGCTCTTGGTCAGAAACAGTTCCACCATTTCCTGCACCTTCTTCCTGTCCTTGCAAAAATCGCACCTGTCGACGCACTTAGGAGGAGGCTCCCCAAAATAATTCGAAAACAGCATATGACGACATTGCCTGAAAAAGTTTTTTAGTAAAATACCCCCTCTTGTTTTCCGACAGACTTACGTGGGATTTTCGCAGTACTCGATGACTTTCCTGAACCCCTTGATTGCAATTTCCGCCGTTTTACGTCTTTCTTCGCGACCCCCAGCCTTGGCAAGATCCTGCGTCAAATGGAACTCTACAGCCTTTCTGTCGGAGCGATTGTAGTACACCCGGCACATGGAAGGCTTGCCATCTCTCCCGGCCCTTCCGGATTCTTGGTAGAAGGAAGCGGGGTCTTTGGGAACGCCCCAGTGCACGACAAATCTATAAGAGCATTAAACGAAGCACAACTTTTTTTTAAAGACACCCGTGCTTACCTAACCGTAGACTTATCAACTCCCATCCCGAAACTGATGGTGGCGCAAATTACGGGCACATCTCCGTCTTGCCACTTGTTTTGGAAGTCTAACCGTTCGTGATTCTTCAAACCGGCATGGTAACAGAGAGTTTTCACGCCCAGCTTGTTCAGGCGCGCCATAAGAACCTCCGTTTGATCTCTCGTCCGACAATAAATGATCCCGCAGGATCTTTTCGATTTCGGTAAGTGCTCTTCTTCTTTTACCCTCAAACAATCGTCTATGAAGGTTTTGAGGTGTTGGAACTGGTCCTCAAGAATGTTTGGGAAAAAAACGTCATAAAAGAGATTCTCGCGAAAACACGAGGTTTTGAAGGTTTTGTGGTCGTTTGCCAGCCTCAAACTGGTTATTATATCTTTCGTTACCTAAAAAATGGCGATTTCATAAAATAAAAATTGACTTTTGTCTTATTTAAAACTAAAGTAATAACAAGATGGTTTACCTCAGCGCTAGCAGTCGCCGTTAAAGCTATACAAGGAATATTACAATGTTCCCTCAATTGGCCGAGCTTAGAATACTGCGGCCTGAAGTCGTGACCCCATTCGCTGACACAATGCGCCTCATCAACCACCAAATAAGCAAGTTTATTGAAATTATGCAGGTTGCTGTAGAGACCCTAGAACCCACATGCAATTTGGTGGTACGTTTTTTTATAAAATTTTACCTTAAATGTTTCTGTCGCCGCTTGCTCTGGAGTTACATACAATAACCGAGTATTTGGGGAAGTAGACTTCAAATCTGCGATTAGAGCTTCCCGCTCTACTTTACTTATTTTGGAGTTTAGGGACGCAGCTCGTATCTTTAAACAAAGCATGTGGTCTATTTGATCCTAAAAACATCGTAAATTCAGTTTTTTCTGTTACTATGAAACAGTAGAACAATGTACCTTTATCAAAGCTAAGAGTGGTGAGAAGACAATTGTAATTTTGTCAGCATACAACATAGCAGGCAGTTGATAGCACAAAGACTTTCCTGAACCTGTAGGCATAGATACCAGGACATCGTGCCTCCCTGAAAAGGAAAATTGTGTAAAAATTTTGTTGTACAACAATGAGCCACAGTACTTTGACAAATTTCAACAATAGCATCCCTCTGAAGTTGAGATTTGAACTCATCGAACTTGAAATACTTCTTCAATCCTTCTAAAATAGTATTCTCGTCCATTTCTACTCCAAGTATATATGTAAATTTTGATGAGGCAAATCTTCAATGGGCCTTCGTGAATGACATAATAACGGCTTAACCTCTTACAATTAGTATTGTTTACGTGCCGCCAAAATTGTCCGTTTTATGCCTGAATGTCTAAAATAAAAATTCACAAATGTAGAACTAAATCGTTTCGGAAGAAAAATTGGTAGTTCAAACATATTTTAGAAACAAATTGGCCCGAATATAATTGTTCCGAAATTTAATTAAAGGATCTTTGCTATTTAATGCGTACCGAAGAAATATTTAAAATGTCATTGTTTTATCATAACACCATGAGCATAATATAATACGGTTATACTTATTAGGTACTATTATGAATGGAAATCCGAGAAGCGTAGTAAATAATATTTCTGTGGCATGAATGAACACAGAAGTATAGATTTTGGAACGTGCATCACCGAACGCGTCCAATCCTCCTATCGACATTTGACCTACTTTTCAATCTGTAACCTATAAGACACAAAACATGTAATACTTATAAGATTCATATTCATGAGAAATAAAAAATAATTTAAAAGACAGATCTAGTATATTCGAAGACCACGCTGTCGCAGTTTAGCCATTTATTCTATTTATTCTTAGATTTTGCAATGTCGGATTCAGATTCTATATCGAGACCACCAAACGAATTATTAAGGAGGATTCGAAGAGGCAGCGAAAATGCGCTCCAAGAGCTATTCGAAACAGAGCCGACCTTCCTGTGGAGTGAATCATATAACAGTAGAACTGGCGATAGTGTCCTTCACTATGCTGCTAGACTCGGCCTAATCAATATATTGGAAAGTATAATCGTAATGTGCAAATGCAAATGCGTAGACCTTAAAAACAAGGACGATAAAACGCCTCTCCACGAGGCAGCCCAATGTTCGCAGTACAGAGCCTGCGAGATACTTCTGGAACATGGAGCCAATGTCGACACTCTCAAAAGGGCTGACTGGACCCCCCTCATGCTAGCCTGCACCAAGATAATCGGAGAGGACAGTTACAAAACGGTGAACGTACTTTTAGAGAACAATGCCCTGGTGGAGTGCAAGAATAAAGATGGATGGACGGCCTTTCATTTGGTCTGTCGAAGTGGCGATCTCACCATCTTAAAAATGCTCCTCAGAAAAAACGTGGACGTATACCAGGAGACTTATAATGGACGGACGGGCCTCCACATAGCAGCTTTGCACGGTAACTTAGAGATCGTCAGGATTCTGCTGGATTTGGAATTGGAGCCAGATAGAACGGACAGTTGCGGGAATACTGCCTTACACGATGCTGTCCTGGGCGACAACATTGAAGTTTGTAAGCTTCTGATAAACTACGGCGCCCACACACGTTTTGTCAACAGTAGGGGGTTCAGTATACTCCATATGGCGGTTAGCCAGGGGTTTCTCGAGATTGTCGAATATATTTTAAAAGATTTGAATTTCGATATAAATGAAAAGACGAATGACGGGTATACGGTGCTGCACTGTGCTGCAAAGCAAGGCCACAAGGAGTTGCACGGAATGTTAATATTCCGGGGTGCCGATAATAGCATCACAGACAATTTCGGCAGGTTCTCCAACCAATATTTCTAATGTGTAATGTGCCACTGTATTTTTAATTATTAATTTAGTGTAATCTGTTATGTATTTTTAATTATTGTTCATAATAAAAAATATTTTCTTATTTGCGGCATAGTTTCTCTATTTATTGGTTATTTTGCTTGTTAAAAAATTTGCCCAACCAAAAATTCCACACCGAAAAAGCGGATAAATAAAAGGTACACATATATCACACACTTTAGTTATACCTAATTAATGTTTTGATTTTTTAATTAGCATCCATCTCCTTGAATTTTCTTGTAATAATATAATTCTCTCTCAACAATTTTGGATGGACCTCAATTAATCCAGGGAACCAAGGGTTTCCCGTCCGAATTATTTCGGATAGAACCGATTGACGTGAAAGTTGGACGGTAACTAGAAAATAACTGAAGAAACAAGTTATATAGTGTCGATGAGCGCTTTTGTCCAGGGGGTGAAAAATAAAATATTGAAAATAACCCCAGGAATCGATAAAGCAATCAATTTTAAGCGAAAAGTATCTTATGAACATTTTTCGATAAGTCAATATTTTTTGAGTTAATGGTGATTGAAATGTACATTTTTATTTAAAAAAGACGTTTTTCGGTAGTTTTTCTCGAATAACTCGGAAAATAGACATTCTATGAAAAAAAAAAACATCGCTACGAAAATGACGCTTACAGAAAAAGAAAAAGATTGAGTTCTTTTTCATTTATGTAAGGTGCTCAGATACAGCTGGTTGAAGATAATTTCATGTCCGCCAGAAACTAAATTGGAAGCATTTAAAGTGAAATAACTAAAAAAATTCTATTTTTCAAGAAAGACGTACTGAACATTTTTTAAAGTACTTTAAAAAAATCTTTAAAATGAACTTACTTTAAGTCATTAGCATAAAAATTAACAGAGTTATGATCAAAATAAAACTGTTGATTCGCTTTTTCGGGGAAAAAAATTATTACAAAACTGATGAATTTCTTACGAGATTTAAAATTAAAGGTAATCTACAATTTACATTTTTTATGTGCTAACAATATATTATACAAGTTTAAGCGAATTAGAATGCATATTTTTGAAAATATTAGGGTTTGATTGAAAACAATTTTTTTTATGCTACAAAAAATTACATATTTTTGAAAACAACTAAAAATATAAAAGATACGAAAAATATCCCTCGAATAGCTTCAAATTGTAGTTAGAATTATTAGTTTAAATCTTTCTGTATAGATGGCGTGGCGATATTAAAAATTTTTTTAATCCCTGGAGCGTGGAAATGCAATTCATCTGAGAGATCGTTAAATTTTGAGTAATTTTTGTAATATAAAGCTTTTCCCTATATTTACTTGTTTTCGAAATATGTCGACTTCAATATTATTTTATTTAAATCACAAAATATTCTTTTAAAATATTGTTATAATAGCTTTATTCACATCGCATGCTAACTAAAAAAACAATAAATTATAAAAAAAATGAATGATCAAATACAGAAAAAAAAATGTAAAAAGGTAAATCTTATAAATAAGGGGCTTATCAAATAATAGGAATGTTATGTCATGCCATCTGGGTATTTTCAAAGACGCCGCAGTAAAACGAATAAACAGGTGCAAAAAACGATCAAATCATCAAGGTTTTAGGTACTGAAATCTACGAAAATACTAACTTTTGTATATACAACTCCACATGTAAATATTCTTATAACATTTACTTGCTTAGTCCTACATATAAAATTGTTTACATTTATTTATAAGTACCTGAAAATAATTCTTAAAATGTGGGGTTAGGATAACAGCAAACGCATGTTTTACAAACGCTTTTTTTAAGTTATTATTTTATTTGAGTAAATTTAAATAGTAACAATGAATAAACAGAACATCAAGGATTTTATTTTTGTGCTTACTTTTGTTCTACATGTTTTACTTTTCAGGATTTGAGTACCTAAAAACGCCAGAAATTTTAATATTTCTCGGCCAGGGTTATGGCCACCTTAAAATTAACAAAAATTAAATAGGAAGTCAGGCCAATTTAATAACACATTGTTCATTTTTTTTTCTGTAGTTGATAATTTTTTTTTACAATTTATTGTTTGTTAGTTATTGTTGTTAGTATGCGGTGTGAATAAATAAGTCATTATAGCAATACTTATTTTAAAAGAATATTTTGTCTCGGTGTGATTTAAATAAAATAATAGATCATACATTGCATATTGAAGTCGACATATCTCGAAAACAAGTAAATATTGGGAAAAACTTTAAATTACTAAAATTACTCTGAATTTAACGATATTTCGGACGGACTGCATTTCCACGTTCCAGAGATCAAAAAATTGTTTCTATAGCCGCGCCATCAATACAGAAAGATTCGAACTAACAGTTCTAACTACAATTTGAAGCTATTAGAGGGACCTAACAACCCCAGTTTTCGGAACTAAAATAAATTTCTTCATTTCCAAGATATCCGCCATGGAGACATAGTCTCCATGATATCCGCGATAATTTTTAAGCAAGCGCACCAAGCGGCGAAAGCAGTAAGCTCCGAGACAAGGTAATTTTGACGTTGCAGTTCGTGTTTACACATTCATTTGAACATTTGTCTTATTTGCCATTATTATTAGTAATTTTGTTATAAAACTGCGGTTATTTGACTTTTGTGTTATTTTATAGGTTTCAAATATTTCATAAATAAATTTTAAGGCAAGTATTTATGTCTACTTTATTTGTCTAGCATTAAAATTTAATGTACATTTTATTAGGTTATAACTATGAACTTTTCCGTTGTGGAATACATTTCCAATTTATATATATGCCAACGAAAACTCCCGTTGTATATCGGAAGGAGAGGCAGTTTTTAACGCTGATTATGTGGTACTATACGGGAAAATTGGGCAAAGTTAATTTAAATTTAGAAATTTATATTGTGTCTGCAAACTAGTGCCCTTACTTTACAACCCACATGAAATTCAGGGAGTATTATCTATCGGCAATAATATTTTGAAAATTTCTTCAATGGTTTGATGAAAACTTAATTCTGGATTTTTCTTGGACCATGAAGAGCAACCTTGAACAGTTTGAACAATGTGAACAATAATAGTTTGACAGTTTCTTCTTTCTATCCATAATTGCTGAGGTTTTCCTCACACAATTTTCTTAAAATAACAGTGTTCAAAAAACGAACACCAAACACAGTTTTAAATAAAATACAAAACGAAATGTCACACAGAAGAAATGTTGATTTACCTTGAAATGCTTACCTCATGTTTACCTTTTTTTTCTTTTGCTAGTATCACTTGTCACTGCCAGAGGGCGAGCTCTTAGCTGCATTCGCGAATTGGCAGCGAGAGTGTCAAATGATGGCTCATCCAGTATACACAGAATACATTCACTTTTTCCCTTTTAATAATTCTAACGAGCGCAGTGTTGTTGGACGCGTCAATGCCAAATATCCGCTACGTTCAGAAAAAAGTCCGATTTTATCCAACATTATCCGCCCACTGATATGAAATTAAATAAAGCATTGTATTTTTACAAAAATAGACTAATAAATAACTATAATTAAACCATTTTGTTTGACAACTACATTACCAACTTAAATTAGGCGGTAAATTTAAATATGAACAGTAATATGGCAACTAGTCTGCTAAATCTCAACACATAAAAATGTGCATTGTTTTTCTGCATGCAATCTCAGTGTTGACATCTTCGAATTACATGTAAAAGTTCACTCACAAAATTTTCCTCAAAAATTGCTTCCATATACGTTAAATATTATAAAATAAAAACATATAACATAAACTTTTACACATTTATAGAGGTTTACAGACTGAATAGAAAAAGCACATGCTGCATATTTCTATATATTGGCATGTAGCATTAAAGGTATTTAATAAGACTAACTCATACTAACAAAAAGTTTATTATTATAGAAAACAAAAATACTTTGTAATGTCTTTGGCAATAATAATATGATTAACATATTTTTTAAACTACCTTAACAAAAAATAACTGAAAATATAAAATACATATTTTCAATAATAATTCTGCGAATTCAGAAATATTAAAGCTATATAAATAGAAAACAACTCAACATTTTTATCCCAAAGTAACATTTTTATGGTTTACATAAGGAACTAAAGAATTAGGAACTTTGTTTACAAAACAAACGAGAAAGACAAAATAAAAAATCTACAAATCTCAATAAAAAATTGGAGGATTACTAAATGAATACATGAAGACACAGTACACATTAGTAATAATTTAACTACCCACTGAATCCTTTTTTTTCCAGATTTTACTTTGTAGCATTTTTTCTGATGGTGTGAAATTGACACATCCCCCACAACCCTCAATACCTTCTTTTGTTGCCAAAATAGCTCGTACTGTATCTGTATTTAAAAGATTTCTTTTATCCGTTTTTATATTGAAAACGTCGCTAAAAATACGCTCAACTTTAGCATTCGAAAAAGGAAGCACAAGGAGTAGCGAAAACATCTTTTTTAAATTTGGAAAAAGCGGTGCGTTAGCAGCATTTTTTAAATTAAATATTTTACCCCAATATATATCCGGTTCATTCATTGACATTTGCAAATCGTCTAAATTTAAAAGAGCATGTCTTCGCCACTCATTGTCCAATTCCTGAGAATCCACATAATCTTTTAAAATAGGGAATCTTTCTAAAACGTTGTTTACCGATTTAATATTAAACGATTGTGCTTCATTAGGATCTACTACCTTTAAAATTTCATAAATGGGATCACTGAATTGAAACCTTTCTTTAATATTTGATACTAATTCTACATAGAAGGCTAAAATACTTCTAAAAAATGTCTCAAAATCTTCTTGTGGAATATGGGGATTTTTNACGTTTTTATTTGAACGCTCGTTACTTATCAACTTTAAATGTAACATTGTTTTTATTCGTATAATGAAGGGTAATTTTTAAGAAACCCAGTGTACGGAATTACTACCATCTCAAAACCCCTAGCAATTGGATTATAATGAAAAAATTCATAAAACCACAATAATATACACTTTATTATAAAATCAATAAATATCACAATATAATAAAAACGATTACATCAGAATACATCGTATTTAGTCAAAAATGAAAAAATAACAGCCATAACTTGTGTTTGCTTAAATAAATTTACTTGTCGTTTATGAAAAATTGCGAAATAAGGTTTAATACGCCGATTATTATAATTATGACATGAAAGACGAATTTCGCAGCGGTTAAGGAGCGTTCCTTCTTCAGCGATGCCATCTTCAGAAGGCTGGGCAGGAGGAAGATGTACACAAGGCCGCTGAGAGCTCCAGTGTACCTTAAAATTTCGTAAAATTTTCATTCATTCGTACACGCAACCGGCAAATCGTAAACGGCCTCTACCATGCGCCTCTTACGATTTCCGCTCATCTGAATCAGCTGGTTTACTTACACGTGCTGTGATTTACCCTTACCTTATCAGCGTGCCAATCCGCGGAAGGAAACAGGCGAACATGATGCACACGAACAGCACGACGGAGTTGATGGCCACCACCTTGGCGTAAGAGAACTCCCCCAGCCTGCAGTCCTTGAAGATGGCGTTGATGTTGACGAGAACGTCGTTCCGTAGCATGAAAGATATCAGCGGGAATACTGTGAACAGCTGGAATAGGAGCAGGACCCTCGCTATGATGGTCAGCGTGTCGCGTTTGGAAAAATTGTTCAGGATATTCTGAAACGAGGAATTCACGAATTTGTATGGTTCGTTTCAAGCTACGGATCAAAGTAGGTTGTCTCGGGGGTAAAAATAATACTTACGTCTTCAATGCAGGATTTCATCAGTGGGAAGCTGACATAAAAAACGACGCCGATGAATATGTAGGTGAACGTTATTAGGCCGAAGGCTATGCTAAGGTCGCGGCCCTAGAAATAAAAAAATATACAATACATAATAATATACAGGATGTGCGTTAAAGGTCTTTACAAAGCTCCACCAGATACAGTGCGGTTCAAAATCAGTCGGTTTAGCTAAACTTACCTTAGTTCAAGGTTGCTCCGTTTACTGAAGTTGCAATTCTGAAATCGTTTTTTTTTTTTTAATAAATTTAAAACGCTTTATATTGCGATTTTGTTAAATTTTGGTAAGTTGGCACTGCTCTGTAGCACATCAACATCAATCCATTGGCGTAGAACTTGGGTTTATTTTCAGTAATTACATCTTTACACCAGGAAAATTAGCGAAAATAAAAGAGAAACTCGAAAAAAGTCCTATCCGCTAGATTATTGTAAAATTGTCTAAAGGAACATAATACAAGACATCTCTCGTCTCGTGAGTCAAAAACTTTTATTAGCTAACTTTTCTATTTAAACAAATAAGTGAGGAAAACAGTTTTTTCACTTTGCAGGGAAAACCATCAATTTTAGCGAAAAGTGACTCTCAGACAGCTTATAGGGAGTAAAATTATCTACAAAATGAGACTGGTTAATTTAAAATCCGTTAATAAACAAAAAAGTTATTGCAAAAAAACAGAAAAAGTGCCCATTTTTTAATTTGTTTATAACTATCGCATTTATTGTTAAAATTTTATAAAACCTATGACAAGTTGA